AGAACACTATATCCACCTCTACTTCCTGTATTTTCCTCTATTTACCTAAGCATGCCATCACTTTCGCAATACACATCATTTATTCGAAAAAAAAAATTTAATGGGGAAAAAAGAAACATGGCTTAATCCGATAACCTATATATGTGTGTGTTTCTTTTTGACTTAATGCTGTGGGAATGACTTTATAGAGAAAGTCATAGAATTCCCCATTTAGTTTTAACTCTTTACAAACTCTCCCTCATGTGGTGTCGTTTTCTCAAATATTTTTTATACATTATTTATCCTCGTGTCACATGTGAAAAAAAAAACAAGGCCTTACTTTATTTGCCAGCAAATTGTAGGAAATAGCATTGTACTTGCTCTTTTTATGAATAGTAGCAATGTGGTTACATTTCTTTACCCATAATAGTGTAATCTAGTAACTCTTTAATTTTACTACGATAATAACAATATGTAACCCATAATAACAACTTACTTGGATTTCTTTACACATAAATAGCAACGTATATACAATCCTTAACCACAACAGCAAAATACTAACTAACTTTTAGGAATAATAGCAATATGCAACATATGAAGTAAATTGCTATTATTGGTCAAATATGTCAGAAAAAAATGCATGCAACTACGTTACTATTACGAGTAAAACACATTAGTAGTTACTACTATGAGTAAGAAGTAGTAATATATAAAAGGCAAGAGTAAAATACATTGCAATTATGGAAAAAATAAAACCTCACCTTAGTATCAGCACCGAAACCGTTAAGAAATTTCACTTGAAGATACCCATTAAGTCCAATCAGAGGTAACAATAATATAATTATAAGAGCCAACTGCCAGTCTCCAACAAACGCAATGATTAAACCGGAAACAGCTGTAGAGGTATTCTGAACAAGTAACGAAAGTGTATCCCCCACCAAACCTCTCACTGATACCGCATCCAAAGACAACTTTGCCCCAATCAAACCACTTGAATTTTCCAACTTATCAAACCAACCAATCTCCATCTGAACCACTCTCTCGAAGCATTTTAATCGGATTCTCCTTATTAACTTACACCCAGCGATACCAAAAAAATACGTCTTCAGTGGTGTCGCTATTAAACTCGCCAAACCAAGAACAAGAAGCATCAACGCCCAAAACTCTGAATCCTTTCGAAGTTTATGAGCAGGCTGGAAAAAAGTCTTTATAATACTCGAAAGAAGATACCCAAAAAGCGGTAAAATTGCCCCGTTAATTAAAGCGGCTATGGAACCTGGTAGGATCACCGGGATTTCGGGTTTGTTCAGATAAGCCAAGCGAAAAAGGGAAGAATTTGTTTTTTTGTCGGGTATCGGTTCCTTCTGATTATCTGTTGGGGCTAAGTTAACCAAGTGGCGATTACTGTTACTAAGATTAGGTGATTCATGAGTTATGGATTTTGAGATAGAAATGCGTTGACTAGAATGTGACCCTGAGGCCATGGTAATCTCGGCCCATTCTTGATCAACATTTTCATGATTTTGTGAGTGTTTGGTGAGTTCTTGTAATCGTATAAGTTGGGAGTATGCACCTTCGGGATCTTGTAATAGCTCGGAATGTGAACCTGCTTGATTAAAAAGACGTGGCTTAATGTACTTTTATAAATTTACTTTTCCGTGTAATAGATTCTTTATAAATGTAATTATGAAACGAGAAAATATGTCGAAGGACAAGGTAGATAAGAGAATGACCTTTCTCGATAATCTTCCCATCATTAATAAGGGCAATTACATCGGAATTTTGTATAGTGCTCAATCGATGGGCTACAATAACAGTAGTTCTGTTAACCATGATTCTATCAAGCGCCTCCTGAACAACCCTTTCAGAATTTGTATCAAGAGCACTTGTAGCTTCATCTAGTAGTAAAATCCTTGGGTCTTTCAAGATTGCTCGAGCTATGGCTATTCTTTGCTTTTGTCCTCCTGACATATGAGTTCCATGATCACCCACCATCGTATCGAGTCCCTATATGCATTTAAGTAAGGTTTGGAATGCAATAATGAAAGTTAATTCTATTTAGTCAATTTTCTAGCAACATATGAAATTCAACCTCAGGGAATTTGTCGATAAATTTGGCAGCATTGGCGAGTTCAGCTGCTGCTTTGATTTCATCAAGTGTTGCATCATCTTTCCCGTATGCAATATTATCTTTAATAGTAGAACTAAACAAAATCGGTTCTTGGCTAACAAGACCAATCTTCCCTCTAAGCCATCTGAGGTTGTACTCTTTGATATTAATATCATCAATAACAACTTCTCCTCCTTGGGGGTCGTAAAACCTCTCTATGAGGCTGATGACCGTTGATTTCCCACTCCCGCTGTGTCCCACCAGAGCCATGGTGGTGCCGCTTGGTATGGTGAGAAATAATCCATCAAAAATAGGCTCCTTGGGTCTAGTCGGATAGCTAAAAGTAATATCCCGGAGCTCGATATCACCATGAATGTCGTCTAGTTTCCGGCCATTGGTGTTGTAAGGATCTATATCTGACTTTCGATCTATCACCTGGAATAGTTTGAAAGCTGCAACTCTTCCTGAGGTAAATGAACTCAAGCACGGTGAAGCCTGCCCTAATGAACTGATTCAAAAGTTTCGTGAGGAAAAGTTTAAATAAAGTTACTAAAGATATCATACCAAAGATAGAACTTTATGTTAAAGGACCAAGTCTGCAAACACAGTACAACCTGTTCTATCATGTCATTTTCTGTCGTGTGTAAAAGATGGGCCTTAATTATGTCTATATATGATCATGAGAAGTATTTTGAAAATATAAAAGAGTACTTACGAAGAGCTTAATAAGATAGCGATCATGATGTTTATGACCTGTCCGCCTGTGTATCCTTTTTCTATAATCAATCTGCCACCAAACCATATGGCCAAAGAGTAGCAACCGAATACACAAAACATAAATATACCAGAACCAAGTCCGGAAACCAGACCCTCTTGCACCCCAGCCATATAAGCTTTCTTTAATGACTTATCATACTTGGCAATGGCTTGCTTCTCCCCCGTGAATGATGCAACCTGTAGTTATAAAAAATCATTATCAAAATCAGATTTTTTAAAAATGAAAGAAATAGCAACATACTTTTTAATATGAAGTTTTTTAAAGTACAATTGGGTACTCTTTTCAAAGTGCAATGCCTTAATAATATGTACAAATTTAAAGAGTGTTAAATGCATGAAATAGCAAAATACTATTATACAAATGTTTCTTATAGCATCCTATATACCGTCATTTGGTCATATTATAGCGTTGTACTTTCCAAAACTAGCCTACTTATTATTGCAATGTCATCCAAATACAAAGCAATATTCATTGCTATAATTGGGTAGATTTTTCAAAGAATATCCTAATAAGGAAAAAATTGAAAGTCCAATGTTATAATTAGGTAGATTTTTCAAAGTACAATGGCCTTGTAAGAAAAAAATAAAAATACATATAACCGGGTAGCTTTTCAGTGTACTATGACCTAATAAGAAAAAATGGAAGTACAATTCTAATTGGCTAGATTTTAAAGGTACAATGACCGAATATGAAGAAAAAAATTAAAAGTACAATATTTTAATAAGAAAACATATTAAATACAATGTTGTAATAAAAAAACGAAAGTAAAGATAAAAAAAAAAATCTCACAGTTCTGATAGAGCTGACTGTCTGTTCAACCACGGTTGCACCAACAGAATAAGCAGATTGGCCCCTGGACGTTAGCTTTGCCATTATGGCAGTCATAAAGGCCGCTGAGATCACAAGAACAGGAATTGTAGATAATAACGCAATGGAAAGAAGCCACCCCTTTGAAAAAGCAATCACAAATCCTCCAAAGAAAGTTGAAGTTAGCTGTATAAATTTTCCAACCTAAAAAATGAGACGGATTAATTAACCCTTAAAAACTTATATCAAAAACATTAGATATAAACCTTGTCCCCGTTTGTTACGCATGTTACGCAAGACAAGACATGATATAACAAGTTGTACTGCATTTGGCATGCATTACACTGACAAAATTTCATTTTGACAAAGACTAGTTATCAATCTCCTGTTTGTGCAAAAGACGTGAATGCCCTTGTCATTATCATCATGGAAAAAAAGACCTTCAAAGTCTAACATTCCGTTAGTACCTTTTCTCCCATAGCCGCCTGAATAATAACGGTATCGCTAGTCATACGTTCAACTATTTCTCCGGTCTTGCTTTCTTGATCAAAAAATCCAACATCTTGTCTAAGTATTGTTTTCAAGTATAAACTTCTGATTCGTGCAGCCTGCCTCTCCCCTGTTATCATCCAGCAAAGCACCTCTACAAAAGTGTCAAATATGGTTCTTGGTTAGAGTTTTAGACACTCCAAAGCCTAGTAATCATATCCCTTTTTGTTACACACAACAAAACTGGTTATACTTGCATTTGAAGTGCATTGAACTAATGTCAATGAGACAAAGATTGCAATTTTTGTCCCACCAAAAAAGGTGTAACAAAATTAGCCTTAATTAGTTTCGTAAGCTTACGGGAAAATGCTGCAATTCCCGACCCCAGAGCCAAGTAGACATATTTGAGGGATACCTGAATACGATTTATGAATGAGAGAATAGCTAATTAATACACTTAATGGTTTAGTCATAGCAAGTAATAAAAGTTCTGATGAAATGGGCATTAGTATTGAGATATGATCTTATACCTTGGAAACTGCATGAACAATGGCTTTGTTATCTGTAGTGTCTCCAAATGTGTCAATTAGCTCCCCAAATAACAATGTCTGGAGAGGCATACTGATTCCACCTCCAATTGCAGTGATTGTCCCTATGATCATTAGTACATAATCAGTGGAGTCAGCAAAGGCAAAAAGCTTGTGATATGGTACAGCATCAGTTGTCTCCTTCGGCTTTTCAGACATTTCTGGATCTACTGCTGTTGATTCAGTGCCGTGTTCTGGCTTCATTTCTCCTTTCGAACCACTCATGACTTCCCTAAATGCTTTATATATATCAAAGTGGATTGGGGCTACAAGAGAAAACAAGAATAACTGTCATATTAATTTAATATGTATTGCAATAATTTGAATCGATCATTCACTAAGAACTGAAGTTGTGAAAAGTAAGCATGTAATAACCATTAAGAGTATAAGTTTGTTTGGCGGAACGGATGACAAAGGAACGTTGTGACGAAGGTGATTAATCTAATAACTAAGATTATCTTTGGTCAGTGGAATATATTTCAGTAATAATGTTATATAATATTATTTGATTATAAAATTTAACTTTTTACAAAGCTATAGGAGAACAAAAGTTCATTAAATTCCAAATATAATAAATTCAATAATTTTAACAAAATAAAAGTTTAATATAATAATCATAAAGTTCTTTAAAAAGATTTGTCATCAGAACTTTTATTTTTCACTCTAATGGCATAATAAAATAAAACATTAAAAACCAAAAAGATAAAAGCATATATTTTGTTCCTTAAAGAGAATCTATTTCAATTCATTAAACAAAATACAAAATGCCGTTCTAAAAATTTAATTAAAAAAAAATATATATCGTAAAAAACAAATAACTTTCATCCTAGAACGAGAACTATCTATTTGTTCATTTGCGATGTCAAGCCAATATATTATTAATTAAATTTGAAATTTTGTGGCTGATGCTGGATTTCTAGTAGCTGCTATGAAGAATGTCTCCAGAATCCCTTTTATATAGTCAACTAGCAAAATTCTATATCGAACTGAAGACACTTATAAAAGAGAAAAAGAAAACAGTTTTTACCTCAAAACAGCAAATGGCGTATGTTCTTGGTCAAATCTTAACATCCAAGGAAGATGCGTCGGTATGACTGAACTATCGTGGAATTCATGCTGTATAGTAGAAATGATGAAAAGTGAATAGTACTTATATCCATGAATGATTAAACGAGTCTGTCTGGTCTCTATTGAGATGCGATGTGACTCATTGACTAGACACTGTTCAACTTGAATGATATATTCGATTACCCTTTGCTTCTTAACTTCTTAATTAGCTTATGACGCAGCTTAATAATAGCATCTTACTGATAGTGAGTTTAACTTACATGATCTTTATACGTGTATGGTCCGTCGTGATGAAACTTTCTCTGCTAAAAATAATAATAGAAATGAGGATCACCAATTTGTTTTTAATATTAGAGTAAATTATTGAAATGGTCCATGTGGTTTGGTAAACATTGCGAGTTTTGTCCCTATCTTTTGTTTTTTACTTGAGCCATCCTCCACTTTCGTTTATATTGCACCACGTTACATCCATGCATTTGCGAGTTTTCTCAATTGCTAGTTTATTTGTTTGTTTATTTGAGTTACACTTGACATAAATTCCGTTTACATGTTTTCTTTTGAGGTTGATTAACAATTAGATTTAACAATGGTAGTACATTTCCGTTCCGTATGTGTTCGACATCCTTATATAAACTATGTTATTCAAGATCTCGTGCCTGGTATGGATAGTCTATCTAAGTTTTGGTTTGTTCGGTTTTAAAACTTTAAAACTAGATTTTTATTGTTTTTCATGTGATTTTTAGTTTTAGTTTTTCATTGATAACATACATGTATCTTGTCTGGAAGGTATTTTGATGTTAATCAAGTGTGGGGCCATAACTAGAGAAATCCAATCACAAAAAGTGGAGATTTTTTTTTATAAGAATCGTGTCTCACCTATCATCAAGAACCCTTTTTAATCGGTGAACACAACATGATTTCTCTAATCGTGTCGTGGGTTTTAAACAGAAGCAACATAATGCTTGATTTGTCTACTTTCATGGGTTTGACGATTGCACATGATTAGGGAATTCTTGGCCCAAGTAGTTTACAAATTTGGTGATTCTTCCAACTCAATCCAAAAGACATATAGCAAGGAGTATCGTGGTGATTAAGCGGAAAACATAACTCTTGCTACTCTTTACTAGTTTGGTTCTTCTTGTTCTGCTTATTGGTTATGGTGTGAAGAAACCGCATGAAATAGCCTTACCGGTCCCGAATGTTTTGTTTTCACAAACCTCTTCTTGTATGTAAAAAATTTAGTCAATCATCCCTACCTTTAAAACCAATACCTCGAGGGTACATGAGCAACATAACTATTTCTGACAAGGATGTTTATCCTTTTATATTATCTTTAGTTTGGTATATTTATTTTGAAAGACTTCTTTACTTTCCATTTATTCGCCTACATTGATTATTATGTCCAAATATAATACAAGTAGTCCTACTTACAAGAGTGGTGTCAGAAAAGTCAGATTCGGCTTGGCTGTTGGATTTCCAAAATGTTTTATACTTAGAGGGTCCTACCTCCCGACTTTCTTGATTGATCGTTCTTTATTTGATAGTCAACGTATTATATTGGAACTTAATAAGATACCCGTGTAATTTAATTAACTGTTGAAATGTTTTAAATGTTTATTTTTAATTGTTTTCAATATGATTATTTTGATCTTTTAGATTTTTTCAAAATATGTTGAACCTTAGGTGGTGTTTCATTTTTTGTAAACTCTTCAATTATCTTTTAACCTGTAATATCTGCGGCGGGCAGACATTTTGGCTCGCAGATTGTTTGCTTTTTCGAACACCGCAAACGTTAAACGTTTGTGTGTCCTCTTGTCCTTGTAGATGTAAAATTATCACTTCTTAACTTGGAAGATATAGCTTTCGTTCCCTTAAAAAAAGACGCCTCAACCCTAAAATAAATTAGTTCCCTTTTTTCCCTTGCCTCAACTATCATTGCATCTTTCTCTGTCCCTTCCTTTTTTGTTCGTCGGCATTCATACATCTTCCTTCTCCATTCTCGTTCAGCTATCAGACCACCTGATGACTGACGCACCAAACATCTGGAGGCTACCACAGACAAACTAGAGGTCGACTCAAACAAGCCAAATGCTGTTGTCTTCTTCCTTGGGTCGTTCCACCATAGGATCTCTGATGCTACCTCGTCGGACCACCTCACCATAGGATCTTTTCAATAGATGTATTTTTTTTTAGTTTGGGTTAAAACATGTTTTTATCATCTCAAAATTTATTTTCATGTTTGTTTCGTTCCCCTTTAGTTAGAGTTTTGAGTAGGGAAATTATGATTAACTGTAACATCCATAAAATTTGAGTCAATTTAAAACTTTTTAAATCATATAAAACCATTCAGTTATTACAGTTTGTTTTCAAAATAGTTTAAACATCAGAGTTCCCAGAAATCATAATCATAAATCGAGGAAGTGTACGGTTACGCCTTCGCCTACAGCGGTCATCTGCTGAACCTGAAACTGTAAGCCCGAAAGCTTAGTGAGTTACCCCCAAAATACCAACCTCATACAACCATAACATATCATATAACAAACACAGAACAACCATGCATCTCGAGTCTACAGTGTGACTGGTCCGCCCGCACCGGGCCTTCAGTCCACCTGGTCCACTCTCTGAGTCTACAGTCTGACTGGACCGCCCGCACCAGGCCTTCAGTCTATATGGTCCACTCTCCGAGCCTCGGCATGTCTGGACCGCCCTCTCGGGGCCTTCAGCCTATCCGGACCGCTCGCCGGGCCTTCGGCCTGACTATGTGCCCTCCTGGGCCTGCAGTCTATCCGGTCCGCCCTGGGTATGTTGGCCTACAGCACAAAGCAGGACCCGCCTCAACCTAACCCCCACACCAATCAAATAATCATGTGTACATAAATATCATACGATAGCATGTATATAACAAATAATCATGCCGATCTAACAGATCACTAACACAACAACCATCCTATAACCAGGATACCGACCTAACCGGTCACTAACATAACATCATCCTATATACCAGGATACTGACCTAAACCAGGTCACTAGCATAATACCATCCTAACTACCAGGATGCAGATCTAACAGATCAATAAACATATCAAGCAAAAACCCGGATACAAATCCGATAAAGGGCCGGCCTTGGTGCCTTAGATCCTGTTGATATAGTGAGGATAACTCACCTCGCTAGTAGTGCTGAAGTACCGAACCTCTAACTGTTGTCTCACCGGAAATCCCAAACTATCACATAATAAATATCAAGTCAATACACCATATAACAGTGTTGACTAAGGGCCCACACAATCCGTCATGTCCATTCCCTTTATTGGGCCAAAGCCCAATGCCAAGTCCTTCTCTTGAAGGTCTATAACTATAAAGCCCATTAATTGGGCATAATCCCATGATCCATTATCACTATTTGGCCCAAAATATCTTATTCATAAAGTCCAGCAAAGGCCGAAATCCAACTAGTCCATAAACAACCCAAAACCCGAAGCCCAATTGTCAAAAGCCCAACAGAGGACGTACGCTGGTTGTACTCCTCTGGTACGCTGGGCGTACTCGCTCTGATGTTGACCACCATCGGGGTGGTTGACCCAGTACGCTGGGCGTACTGGATTTACGTTGGGCGTACGCAGGGTTTCACCAAAACCCTACTAAGTGCTTAATGGCTTAAGCACTTAAGCCCAAACTCCAGATCCATCGATCAAATGTGCCATAGGACTATAAAGTCTCGAACTTTATCACTTTGGATGTCCAGAAAGTTCTTAACACATGGTCTTAATCCATTAAGACCTTCCTACCTCATGCATGAGACAAAACTAGCTAATGGGACACCATTTTTATTACTTAGGACCTCTTCTAAGGTCTGAAAGGACAGCTCATTTCGTCCAAATCATAACATGCACCATTTTGGGACTTTTGGGACAAGAATGATTCCATAAAGCTAAAATGACTAGATCTATTTCATATAAGTATAAAGTTCCAAGCTTTTTACCTTCTGGAGCTTCTAGGGCACAACCCAACCTCAGATCTACAAGCTTGATCTTCTTCTCCAACTCCTTGATGCAACACCTTCTTCTTCAAAGACTCAAGGACACTCAAAAAGCTCAAACACTCAAGGGAATGGCTAGGGTTTGGGGGAAGATGACTATAATCAGTGGAGGCTGAGGTAAGGGAGGATTTGGTGCTCATAATGTTGCTTATATAGTCCCCAAACCCTAAATATTAGGGTTTCCTTCTGCCATGAGTACGCCCAGCATACACAAGTGTACGCCCAGCGTACTCCTCCTGATCCCAAAATTACAACTTAGCCCTTAGGCTCTTCATGGCTTTACCCTTCCATCCCCAGGGACTTCAAATGACAAAACTTGGGATATTACAACTTTCTCCCACTTAAATTCGATTTTGTCCTCGAAATCATTCCTTATCATCCCTGGTAACCCGATATCTTAAGGGGCACCTCCACAACCATGACATCCGACGACTTTCGAAGGAGACTAAATCCAATGGGAATCTTTTCATTCCAGAGAAGACGAATCCATAAACCCATGCAACACACAACCTTACTCTACCTAAACCTACAATCTGGAAACCTGAAATCGGTCTGGCTCCTTGACAGACTACTCGTATCCCAAAATCAAATCTCATAAAAACTGAAGGATGTGCACGATCAAGCATTTGCCTTGCCCCGATCATCTGAAGTATCAGAAACATAAAACTTAAATCGTAAGCCAAAGCTTAGTAAGTTCCCTCGAATACCACAAACAACCAATAAAGATACAAAATGCATACCAGGTCCACATTCTCCCAACTGGATTACCCTGGCCCATAACCTCCCGGTTGGATTGTCACTCTAGACCACAATCTCCCAATTGGATTGCCACTCTGTCCTACAATCTCCCGATTGGATTGCCACTATGGCCCACAATCTTCTGATTGGATTGCCCGGGTTTGTTGTCTGACAGCACAAAGCAGTATAGCCTCAACCTACCCATACTATGTCGACATATGTAATAGATAAACATATAACCAGCAAACAGATAATCATGCAGATCTATCAGATCACTACAACATACCAACATCCTATATACCAGGATACATATCCGAATGGGTCGGCATTGGTGCATTCGACCCATAAGTACAGTGAGGATACTCACCTCACAACCTGAAAAGATAGTAGAAAAGAATGCTGCTCCAAATGCCAACTCTATAGGTCACCTATACAACAAACAGTGACCTAAACTCAAACTACCGCTCATAATACCCAAAATTTCCCTAGGTCAAACTTGGTCAAACCCCAGGCCAAAGGTCAAATTCAAAAAGCCAAAAAGTTAAGGAAAGTCAAGCCGACTGAGTACACCCTGCGTACTCAGTTACTATGCTAGGCACAGTCGCGGCCAAGGCAATTATCGGGGCTTCAACCAAATACACGCAGTGTACCACTTGGTACGCCAGACGTACTCTGCCTGGACCAACTCCTTATCATTAAGTGCTTATTTCTTAAAGACTTTTCATCCAAATTCAAATCTAGACCCAAAACATTATTCTAAGTCATAAAGTTTCCACCTTTATGACTTTCCATGGCTAGAAAAAGGTCCAAAAGCTAAAACCCTAACTTATTATTCCATTAAGACATCATAACTCTTGCATCGAAGGGATAGAAGGACCAAGATCACATTTTTATGGTTCTTAACACCTAAAAACACCAAGCTTATAGGACAAAAAATGAACATAAACACTAGGCTAGCAAGATCTAAGCAAATAACTCATCAAGTTTCAAACTTTATACCTCCAAATGTTGCTTAAGGGTGAAACACATCTAGATCCAAGATGCCTTAAGCCTCCAAGATGATTCCACTTCCTTCTTCTTCCTTCAAGAACACCAAAAATGCACTCTCAAGCTCAAATATGCTCACACAATGGATTAGGGTTTGCAAGGGACGATTTGATAGGTGGAGGTTGATGAGGGAAACGGTCTTGAGGAGATAATGATGCTTAAATAGTGCTCAAACTCTAAAAATTAGGTTTTGCTCATTTGTTACGTACGCCCTGCGTACTCGTGAGTACGTCCGACATACTCACCTGAAGGCGCGTTTTCATTAAGTGAGCCATGGGACCGTTTTGCAACAAATTAAATACTTAGGATCAAAAATGAAATTACCTGAACAAAGGGTGTTAAAATTTCCCCCACTTAAATTAGATTTCATCCTCGAAATCGCTCCCTACTACACCCTAGGCCATTCGAACAATCCTTCCCGAATCTCGATCTGAACTAAGAAGTCGACTCATACAGGCGACTGCCTTCCCATACTACAATCAAACCCAATCTTAGTGAAACTCACATACCCAAAATAATAATGAATCCACACCTCTTATAAGGAATGCTTAGTTCTCCTTCCCAGCCGATGTGGGATCAGGTCTAACCCACCTACTTGTAACATCCCGAAATTTAAGGTAAAAAATTACATTTTTAGATAAGTTATTATAAAACCAACAGTATAAGAAAACATCCATAATATCATGTCATGTCAAAACCAAAGTAGAAATAATCAAAACATGTTATCATAAAACAATATCAGAGTGTAATACCAAAGATCTCATGTGCAGAAAACCATAGTGTGATGCGCTGCGATCGAGCCGACTCATTTCCTTTGAAAACGTGTACCTGAAACCAAAACTGTAAACCGTAAGCACGAAGTTTAGTGAGTTCCCCCATCATACCACATACCATACAATCACGTAGCATACATACTGTCGGGCAATTCTGGGGTGCTGACCTACCCGGTCCGGCCATTCTGGGGTGCCGACCTACCCTGTCAAGCAATTATGGGGTACTGACCTACCCATGTCAAGCCATTCTGGGGTGCTGACCTACCCATGTCAAGCCATCCTGGGGTGCTAACGTACCCATGTCAAGCCATTATGGGGTGCTGACCTACCCTTCGGTCCTAGCAACATAACTCTGGGGACTATTTCACCCTTACTACTACTATCACACATATCATAACATAATCGTACTGTCAGGCATATCTGGGGTGCCCGACCTACCCTTCGGTCCCTACGACCGAGATACGAGGACTATTTCACCTCCCACTACTACCACATAATAACATAGCATAAACATACTGTCAGGCATATCTGGGGTGCCCGAACTTCCCTTCGGTCCTAACAACCGAA